TCATGATCGTTCACGAGCTTTCGTAGCAAAAACATTCAGCAATATGCTCGGTATGGTACTTTTGAGAGAAATGTTTCACGTACAGATTTCTAAAGCAAATAATTTTTCAAGAAAGCTTGAAACAGATAAATAAACCGCTAGCTGCCAGCTTTCTAACTGCTTTTCTATACATTTCTGTTTCAGGGATAGAGCCATTCTAAGAAAATATGTTTCTCTGAAGGAGGGCGAAATCAGAAACCTGGTAGCATCATTAACTGCTTAAAACTAATCCTTCTTCTACTCCTCTCCTATATTCACATCGCTTTCTCGTCTTCTTTCTGTCTTTTCAGCAGTCTATTCTTGTGCTAATTGTCGCATTTTCATCATATACATGGCGCATGGGAGGTTGTGGTGATGATTCCCATCTCTGCGCGCATACATGAAAACATCAGATTACAGGTAGCATGTCCTAACCTGTACCTGGTAGCGGGTCGCATTTACACGTTCTAGATAGGCTAGTTACCTGTATAAGATGTTGCTCATTACCTTTACAAGACGCTGCTCGTCACTTGTATAGACCGCCCACTCTCTCGCGCTTAATCGCCGTACCACGTATAATTACGAACCAACCTCCCCTCTCGCCTCAGAAGTTGCACTCTGCTACCGACTATCGGCAGCCGAAGATACGATGAAACAACCGTCTTACCACGCGCTGAGCGGTTGTTGTCGCTAGACTTGACGCTCTAGCCCCACCCGCTGCTACCCGACGTTTACACAAGCGATTGGGCTGTGTTACACGAAAATTTTCTGGATGTTAATTGAACTTGTTGACACAGCGGCTCATCAGTACAAGTGATCTGCGGAAAATGTTCAAATACTGCACTTAGGGATGGTCGTTTGTATAAGGGGCGGCACCGCTGGGAATTGTGTGTTACTCGAGCATTACACGAGCAACACTGGGCCGTTACTTGTATCAGTTGCCACTACACGAGCATTTATGGCATACTACCTGTAATATGATTTTTTCGTGTACTGTACTCTGTCTGCTTTTACAGCTAAGGGATGAGAGAATGAGACGCAGACCGCATTCAGATATTTCTTCTTGCGCATGTTATTTAGTCCAGTCCCTTATTTCGTATTTTATAATTTCA